AAATCATACATGAATTAAAGATCCAGTCTAAGTTCAAGATAGACCAATGGATTTTTAATGTAAAAAGAGTATGAAAAGTTCATTAATATAGTTTCAGGTTCTACACTGCAACTTTTAAAAAATGACTGCTAGTCAAGTTTGGGTGTAGTATCAAAGAAGAATATACACAAATATCTAATAAAGATACTCTTCCCTTTCCCAACTACGTATCTCTGTAAGGCTAGATTTTCTTCACATACTTCAATCAAAATAATATATTGCAAGAGATTGAATGCAGAAGTAGATAGGAGAATCCAGTTTTCTTCTGTTAAGCTGGACGTTAAAGAGATTTGCAATAATGTAATACAATGTTGCTCTTCTCTCTACGTTTTTTTGAAAATATAGTTACTTTTCATAAAACCATGTTGTTAATATATAATGTGTTTACTATATTATTTTTTATTTTTGTCTTTTGTCTTTTTCCGTGTCCGGCAACGGATCGCAACCCTCAGTGTTGCCCCCGTACCGGACCAGGGACCGGCAATGGGACCGCAACCCTTGGTGTTGCTCCCGCGCCTCGCTCAGCCAGTGAGCGGGAACCGGTCCGTATGTGGGATCCGAACCCTCGGGCGGGAGCGCCGCCGCGCTTCCCAAGCGGCGCACTATCCAGTGCGCCACCGGGCCGGCCCTACTATATTATTTTTAAATGAACTAATACTTTTGAAAAATTTCTGTTTCAATTTCTAGTTTGGTAAATATTGATAGCTATAACACACAAACAAAGCCTTTTGAGGTCCTCAAGAATTTTAAAGAATGGACTGGGGTTCTAAAACCAGAAAGTTTGAGAATAGCTAGCTTAAATAATGTCAGAATTATCTGTTCTGCAGAGATTACACCCATGTCATTAGTAAAAATATCTGAATGTTGGGCCTTTTTCAATGGGGGATCTACAATCACTTTTTTCCCTCTCTGTTGTAATTGCTTATTTAAATTTTCTAGCTTTCCCTGGTTAATTTTAGTAACTTAAATTTTTGCTAGGCAATCATCCATTTCTTCTAGGTTTTCATTGGTTGGCATTGAGTTGAAAGTAGTATTTCTCATATTTCCTTTAATCCTTTTAGAATCCTTGGTTCTTTCTCCTTTCTTATTCCTAATCTTAATTTTTTTCTCTATTTTTCCTCCTGAACTTCCTCCTTATTACATTTATTTCAAATATCCCACTAATAAAACAGTACAAAAGCTTTGGAACAAAGAGAATAGAAGGGGAGGCAACAGTAAACAGGAAATGTCAAGGAAGAAGGAAAGGGCACTGGCTGTGGTATATGGGCTGCCCCTCACTCGATCACTGTGGAAGTTCAAGAAAAGAAGATGGCACTGAGGATTGTCAGCTGGTGTCTCAGCCTGGTCTTCACAGTGCTCACTGGTATTTGTAGATCCACCAGGATCCAAGATCTGCTTCTCAACATTCAACGTTCTTAAGTTCAATTCTGCTGGTGTTACAAGACTTGGGTCAGGCTCTGGAGTAACTCTCACTAACCATACTTACGAAAATGACTGATGTAAAAACTAGAATGCTAATTTCATAATTCCCTAACAAATGGACCAGAATACCATGTCTCCTGGTCAAAGCATTTCTTTGCTTTTCATGCAAGTGGTTGTGGTTTCTTAGGGAGTGCTCTGGGAGATGTATCTGTAAGGAAGTGGGGAAGGCTGGAGGGAGAAGCTGGACCACAGGGAGGAGCAGCTGAGACCCCCTGTGTGATTCCTTGGGGTAGTCTAGAGCTAGGATGACCCTTCAGAATTGCCTCGAGTTGAGGCAGTAGAGTTGGGCCTTCAAATCACCACTTCAGTCATTGGTGGTGGGTGTGCCCACCAGCTGTGCCCCCTCAGCAGCCCCTATTCCCAGCAGGTGGGTGTGGGGCATTGGCCTGAAGAGAGTATCTGGGCAGACCAGCCTAGTATTCACTATAGGCACATTGGTTGTAAGATGCCTCCTGAATTCAGAAACATTAAAATGTAAAAAATCAAAAAGTGCACCTTGAAAAGCAGGAATACAGTGCAAGGATTTAGTCATGTGTATTTGGGAGCACTAATGCAAGCCAGACTCCAGGAAAAATTAGAGTAGAGAACTGTAAGTCCAGGGGGCCCCAGGGATTATTCTTCATTGTCTACCGTGTTTTATACTTCACTGTCTATTCCTGTTTTTTCTCGCCAATCTACCTTACTCTTCTTTCTTAATAATCCAACTTTCTTTGCTGAACAGTTTTCTAGTAATCAACCAGTATGGGAGGGGAATAATGGGCAGTGCTGGCTGGTAGATGTTTAAAAACTGGCTCTCAGAGGGAAAATGTGTGCGTGTGTGTGTGTGCGTGTGTGCGTGCGCGTGTGTGTGTGTGTAATTTTTACTGATATGGAGGACACAATCTACATTTCTTTTTTTGCTTGTTTTCCTTGTTTTGTTTTGGTGGCTGACCAGTATGGGGATCCAAACCTGTGACCTTGATGTTATCAGCACCATGCTCTCTCAAGTGTGCTAACTGGCCAGCCCAACAATTTATAAATAATAATAAACTATACAATATTCTTTATTGTAAATTCCATATAGACAATTGATTCTCACAGAATAACTCCATTGATTTTTGCAGAACTCTTGTATCCCTAGCCGACCTATGGTTATAATTGATAAACAAGTCCAGCTCTGACATGAATGCTGGTTGATATTTTTGCTTAAACTAATGAATAAGACAAAAGTAAAACAATTAAGATGTATGTCAGAACTTCACCTATTTGTTAATATGAGAGACTCTCCATTAAATCAGACAATGGTTTTCAAATACTGGAAGAGTATTTCCTCAATTTTTTGTCCTTTTTACTAAGTAATGGCTTATAAATTTAATTTTTTTTTTTTTGTCTTTTTTCGTGTCCGGCAACGGATCGCAACCCCCAGTGTCGCGCCGGCAACGGATCGCAAC